ATTAATGAACTCTTCAGCCGTATACAATACTCCCTTCCAGCCTGCCGTTATAATGAAATTCCACCCACGAAGTTTGAAGAGAATGGCCATCCGGTGTCTGTTGATTGGTATCTGGGACGATGAAGCCAACGAACGCCTACTTTTGGAAGACGAGAACAGACTTAATTGGGGACAGTATGTACGCTGGTCAGACAGGCGAGAACGTGGTGCAACAATTGGTTCACTATCGGAATGATTCTCTTCCCGACACAGTTCACGCTATAAAATCGCGTCTTCAACTAACAGGTAAACGTACTTTTAGTTGCTACCGATGCGGTGAAAGGGATACAAATCGCTGCCGACTGTAGATACATGCAATCTGCCTGTCACAAATGCGGAAAAGTTGAACATCTTGCACGCATATCCTTTTGAACGATTTACCAACGATCGGTACCCCGCCTTGCACAAAATGCTGTTGGGTCAGTGGAAAACTAACGAACCCATGTCGTATTTAATATCACACACTACCACAACTCATATCATGGGGATATCTCCATATACTGTGGAGTTGGACACAGCCAGCCAGTGCGCTTTGAAATCGACACCGGGGCATCAGTCACCTTGATCAACAAGCGAACATTGCCTGATCTGGTTCTGACACCGACTCAGTCCACGTTACGTTCCTGCATAGGAGAGGCGCTCGATGTATTTGGTGTGTGTGATGTGAGGATAAATCATGGAAGCGATACGTTGACTATTCCCTTAATCGTGGTTAACACCGGCGACCCAAACCTGCTTGAGAGGAATTGGTTAAAACACGTGACAGAAATACCGAACTGTCAAAATGGTGGGTCGCATTCCCGATTTACCCGCACTTTTGAAAGCTTTTGCAACGGTTTTTGATTCAAATCTGCCCGGGAAATTACGTGCTTTCCAAGCTCGTTTCAACATCATGCCAGGTACACAACCGATATTTTTCAAAGCACGAAGTTTGCCTTTTGCGAACCGTCGGAAGTTAGAGTCGGAGCTTGATCGTCTTCAAAAAGACGGAATAATCACTGTACGCCACTCATCTTGGGCCGTACCGCTCGTTCGAATACAAAAGCCAGATGGCTCGATTCGCATTTGTGGTGACTACCAACTGATGGCTAATCAAGCGACGACTACTGGAAACTATCCTATTCCGCGTATAGATGATCTCTATGCAACCTTATCGGTTGGACAAAAGTTCTCCAAACTTGATTTGAGGCACGCTTGTTATCAAGTGGACCTCCATGCGTCTACTAAGGAAGTTACGACTATCAATACACACCTGAGGTTGTTTCACTATAACCGCTAACCGTTCAGAATACACTCTGCGCCGGCGATCTTTCAGAGGATTGTAGACAATTTAGTGAAAGGTATACCTGGAGTGTGAGCTTACGTGGACGATATCTTGGCTACTGCTAGTACGGACTACGAGCATCTGATGGCACTCAATACTGTATTGGAGCGCCTCCAAGAGAGCGGACTTTAACTCAACGGATCCAAGTTGGTCATCGATTAAACCGTGTTTCTATTAATTGTATCCACCAGCTTCAGTTGTGTGTCTGTTAACGCTAAGCTAACCATTGATTAGACTGTCTCAACTTATGCAAAGCGTTGTGCTTATGGCGAGAAATAATACATTCTGTGTACTGCTGAAACTGACGTGTTCTGCTTTCGTGCGCTACAGGCCGAACACTGCGTTCATGGTTCAGTACTGACCGAGTTGTACCACTCCCCTATGTGCGCACGCTCTGGCGTTTTTGGTTTGCATATTTCACCACCTTAATCACTTAACGTCGAATCACCTATAAACTTACCTTTGCCCTGCCAACTATTATCAGATATATCACGCAATTCAGAGGATGCTATGACATAACTTGGCTCTCCGACAGACTTGGATTGTGGCTCCTGACAAGTACTCGGGTTTGTTCCACTCTTTTCATGAGACGCGCTGAACAATTTGCAATTTCCCCTTTTTGCTGCTTCATTACCGTCGTCTCTGATTCGTTCCATCATATTCGGTCAACGTGATTCGACCGGACAATCGATTCATCATCTGAGGATGCATTTCTTTGCTGTCTAAAGAAACGACTGTTGGACACCTCCCCTTAAGCCGACTGCTTTCCGGTCGCTTCCAATGTTATCCGTTTATCTGAGATCTACGGAACAGCCTCCGGGCTGGAGCCCTTGCTCCACCATGCGATTGTGCCTCATAGCCCACATAAAACTACATGCAATTGCATGACAGAAGTGTCAGTAACAAATACTGTTACTTTGCTCATACTTTTTCAACGTGTTCCTCGGTCGTCATTTGTCGTTCCGCCGATGTGTGTAGAGCTAGACGACTCAGCTGCCTCCTCGGTTCATCTCGACCTAGTCCAATCAAGCGACTCTGGTGGGGGTGATGAACTACGACGTATCCTGTTTCTATTCCTCACTCAACAACGTCAGTATTATGTGCTCTACTCTGCACTAATTCTCCCTTGTCATGTTGCCGTGGCTTTTGAGAGATGACTCTACTATGGTGGACTAAAGGGCGAGCTGAAAAGGGAACCCAATGTGCACTTATAAGCACTCAAGTGCGTTTTCAGCGTTGAGGCACCTGTACATTGTCAACGCCGTGTGGTTTTTGCCAGCCAGATGGTTTCGTTGCTTTTTCCACTTACCGACCTCATAATCCACCAACCAGCGGTGTTTATCTCCAGCTTTCCCATGTCTGCGAGCCACCACAGGACGCTTGTGTTATCAGAGTTCACATTTTGCATACGCTACACCACTCACAGCTCCATGCACAAACATCATACATTGTACGGATCCGAAGAAGTATGACTTACAAATGTGCATGGGGGCATTGTTAATTCAGAGGCGGCCCGCGCCCACTCACTCATACTTGCATCCAAACGAGCAGTCTGGCTACTATGTGGTAGTCATTAGACATACACTAGACATTCTACGCCCGGATTCCGCAGATGGATGTGCGCTAAGAAGGAACTCAGAACCAGTACTCAGTAAGGGCGTCGAACCAGGGCGCAACATCCAGGAAGGCGTTCACAGATGAGTAGAGTCACTGATGCTCATTTCTAATACGTATGGTGGATACTCGTGTCTACAATAAGCAACTCTCCCGGCACTTCGTGGTTTCTTGCAGATTGCCACTGGTTGTTCATGTCGAAACTTACGCCTTTCTGCACATAGTTAACGAAGCGCAATTTCTCGTCAATCATCCGATGGGTCGATGCAATTTAAATTAATCTTGCGGAAGTTCATCGTATCCAACTTTCGACGGACCGCCTCCGCACATCGGAAGAAGTCCTATTGGGACTCGTCAACAGTGTATCTCGCTCGCATCTTGCGTGAATCGATCCCACAACTTTCTCTTAGACCGGTGACTTAGTTTATCGGATCACGCATGACAGCGACGAACTGTCATGGTTGCTTGCTCTCTGCAATGTGACTCGACTCGTCCTCCATCTCATTCGTTCAACTGATGGATCGAAGTGGTCACCATCACCTGTCGCTCAAGGCGCACCTCATTATTGAGGACACGTTGATGCTACCTGACTCGAGCATCGTTACATGTGCTCCATCGTTTAAATAGCTTGGAATGCCTGAGACTTACATACCGAATTGGATAAGTTTCATGTAAAAGTGTACGACCCTCACCGTGGCTTTGTAAGCGCCATCAAGAACTGGGAAATTCCTCAAGTACGTCGAAGAGTTACGGGGACAGCCCCCACTTTCGTATCACATGAAGTCATGTCGACAGTTGCCCGTCTTTCATTACTGATACGGCTACCAATTTGGGGTGGGCCGATCAGCTATCTCAAAATCTTCATATTGGAACCAATGTAACAACTCCGTGGATAAGAGAGAGCGGCGCCGTTTTCTACTCGGCACTTGAATTTTGTTGGCAACTCTCACTTCACTCGCTGATGTGCGGCTAACCTCACCACTCTTACTCGTCAATTCTGAAGCTAATCATTTTACTGCATGTTCGGTTGATATCGGACGTCCTCCTCGAATCGTTTAACGCGACGCCTACTTATTTACCCCAAGTGGGCGACTGTGCGCTCGGGCTCTTATCTTGTAACCTTGTAGTTTATCAACCAACCCTTTGGTAGTCACGCGGGGCCAGGGACGCGGCTGTTTCTATGGTTGTCCAAATTTACTTTGGTCGCTGTTGGATATCACCTTACTTCCATTCATTCACTACCTACATCAAGTCAACGGTAACATGATTGCTCGAAGTATTGCGTGATAAGAATGCACTTTACCACGTGGTCATTTTATGTGCGATTGTCGTCTGGGTACCTGACTACCCACCCTCCCCCTCATGCTTAGGGCTGATTGTGGAACGCTTCTAATCAATTGTAGTAGGTAGTAGTAGTAGTAGTAGCAGCAGCAAAATTCCTCACGTCAATTCACAAGTTACTTGTATAGTGAAGCTGATTGTGGTCTGGCCATCTTGTTTCATGCCTCCTGTACGTATGATCCCTGATCATCTTGCACTAACCGTGCCCCTACGACAAGCTCATTACGTCATGCGCCACGGATTACATACTTGCTGAGTACACCTGGACAGTCGCCGGATTAATCTTTGTTTCTGCCAGCATACCTGGCCCGTAGCCTTAAGAACCACAAGCCTACCTTGTAATCCGAGGGCGCGAGTTCGAGCCTGCGTATGGACCGGGCGACTCTCGCAGTATTCTTGGTCCACTTCCAGCTGGTGGTGATTATGCAGCGGCGGAGCGTCGGTACGGTATGCCGACGTACTGCGAATGCTTTAATACAACTTCTTCCCCATCTATGGGGTGGGGTTGATTCAACATGGATATCGAGCTCTGAGTGGCCAACACATGCCACAGTCGGTGGGAGGACACAAGCACACCTGTGTCTCTTCGCGTTCAAGTAAGCTCCATGCCTTTTTTCCGTCATTTTATGCACCAGCACCCACGTATGTCTATGTATCATTCCTTTTCTCCCTCTTCGTCTAGCTGTCTCGACGAAACTGAACTCATACGCCGGTAAGTCTCCTATCTTCTCCTTCATTGTTCGTGCACTACACGTCCGTCCGTTGTGGACTGTCCATTTTCTCACACCGTTTAACACATGTTAATACGAAGCGGCGTAGAATTCGCTGTCTATTCGTTTGGACTGCGTCACTAGGCTCCAGCTTCCTGCTTATTCCGAATTCTTCTGTCTAACATGAATAGACCTGATAAATGTGTCGTTTTCTAGCTGGGCTTGATTTACGCCTCCATCGCTATGCTGCAGCTACTTCAGATTGTCACTTGACTATCCCTTACGCTTACCTGGTCGCGTTAGCTTAGACCAGCGGTGTGCAAACTTTTTGCAAGGAGGGCTACATTGTGTGATGTAAAAATATGTCGGGCCATATTCAGTCTGACATTAGGATAATAACAGTAATTGCACAAGTACGAAAGAAGTACAAGCCTGAATTTATTATTTCATGATGAGGCCGCGGGCCATTTGAAATGTTAACGCAGGCTGCATTTGGCCCGCGGGACGAACCTTGGACATCTTTGGCTTAGACGAAAGTTACGCGTGACCTGAGCACGGTCTCTATTCACGCACGTATTCGGGTAACGCGCTGAGTCGTCGAAACCAGACAACTATGCGCACACGACCGGGGGATTAGACTTAGGCACACATGAAACACGTTGCTAAAGCGACGCACACGATCACGTGACCACGCGAATTCCATCCAGCCCACAAGAGGGTGAATACAAGACGAAGCGGACCTCTGTGAGTTTTTTTACGACCCTCAGGCCGAATCACAATCGGCACAATGATTCATTTTGGTGATTTACGCAAGAACATTGTTACTTTAACCCATTTGTGCCCCGACTCGGACTGGCTGCATACTGCTACGTTGTGGGCAGGAATCGAACTCTGCGTGACACAGCCCACACACTGGTTTGTGGCGCATTTTTGCGGGGTTATTTGACGTTCCCACTACGCTTGATTAGATCTGTACCCCGTGCAACCGATGGTAGGTCAACTCATTCGACCTTCCTTAGTCAAGGTCGCCACGATGTATAGCGTAACTTATTATTCTGAACGCTGTTGGCCACCCCTTGAGTTATTACACACATTGCCTGCAATAATAATGATAATAATAGTAATAATAAATACATACTGTTCAACTGGAGTTACGAGGTATGCGCATATGCCGTAAAGCAAATATCCGTTTATGACGATTGAGATGATAGTGACGAATCTTCTCTTGTATCTTGTGACATCCATACTTTCCCTCTTCCCTAAAAATCTACTCCATTTTTGTGTTTTAGTCGGCGCAACACTCGTACTTGCTATCTATCGCCCGCGAAGACAACAGCCTTCCCCATTTCGTTTACTTTATGTTTCTCTGACCATTGTACACATCCCCACTGGTTGCAACTCATTTACTGTGAACAAATTCAGTCGAAACCGCATGTCGACATGAGATCTGCCTACCCCTTTTGCTATCACTAGTAGCACATGCGCACACAATGTTCAAATCACATCATTGTCTTTTCATTCTTTTCTTTCCCTCACCGTGCACTTGGTTTTGCTACTCTTGTGGTTGATGTTTTGTTTAAACGCACTTGAAGTGTCTTCCATTCTTCCGGTGTGAAATTTATGCACTCTTTGGTGTTTGGCATGCGGTATCAAATACATCCAATCATGATACTCTTCTATTCTTCTTGGTTAAGGGTTTATCTTGCGAAGCCGAGTGACAACGCAACCCCAGGCGGGAATAGCTCCATCTACTTGCAAAAAAATGCACACTTCATGTGTGGATTTCTACCGTTTATTCAGGTGATAGATGTTGTTGCATTGAATTATCCATCCCGGAGTAATTGCAACTATTGATAGACATCCGCTGTTTCGGTCACAGTCATCCCTCTTCATTCGAGCGAGCTTTATTAGACGGGTTCCCTTAACTAATGCCGATCCGACTAACTCTTGAAACACTCAAGGAACCACTTTCACCGTTGACGTCACATTCCTCACCATCAATGCTTTTCGGCGTGAACTGTTGGTGTTGAAGTGAGACAGCTGTGCTTCATTAGATCATTCTGTGTTAAGAGTCATCTGCTACTCATTAGTTTTTGGTCCAGCCGCTCTATTCAACGCCATATGATGCACAGCGGAGACATTAACATTATTACCAAGATGTTCCAAGACGTCGCACTAGGCTAGTTGGCAATCGCAGAAGCTGACTTCCATCTTAGTTTGGAGTCCACTAACCTTGGGAATTGTAAATTCGCGAGGGGGCTTATTCTGTTGCTAATTTCCAAGTAGCTTGTACATTCTTAGATTCTGACCGGTTGAACTGTATCCTTATGTACTCAGTAGTGGGGATTTAGGTGTAATTTCAAATGAAATTCATCGCAATTACCTCTCGGTCAAACAGATTTCTACCCATCTTGAAAAGCACCAGACTTCCGTTTCTACCTTGTGCGTCTCCTCATTGGGGTGCGTTCCTTGGACCCCTGCCGGGTTCCGGCCCCATAACTTCCGGATGCCGGCAGCTTATGCCTCTAAGCCATGGATGAGGCCGAAAACCTACATGACTGACAGTTAACTACGATGTGGTGTGGCTCATCCTCCACTGCCATGCCAGTTACGAGTTGTGCAGAAGACAGTGGTTGGCCCCAGAGCTACGACTTTCTACATAGCGACCGTGCACGACACAGCACTTGGAAGCTATACGGACGGATCTTTGATTATTAACGGGTATCCTTATCTGTTCGCTCCTCACTCTGTCAATCGACTCCAGCTATAGAATTCCAGGTTTCAAGTTTGTTTATTTTCTGTTCTTAACCGCCTCTTTTTGACACCGAAATTGACGACATCGCTCCCGTTGCTGTTGCTGCTACTATAACTTCTTTCACCTGTTGCTTTGCTTATAATCACGATTGCAGAATCACGGTTTAGCAGTGCAATTTATTCTGCCCCCTGCTCTAGGTTTTGTTGTCCATACCGTGCGTTTGTTTCTGTTACTGTAACAGACCTCATCATCTCGTTAGCCCATTGAACAGTTGCCAGACGTACAGGCGATTACCCACCATGCTGGCCTTCCTTGACTTGAATACGAATTTGGTTCCATTGAGAGCACCAGCTAGTGTCGCTACCCTTGTTTGAGCGTCATACAACCTAAACTTCTTTCTACCTCAAACTCGCTTCTACATCTCTCTGAGTAGATTAAGACTGCGTGTACATGTTTTCCCACGATAGTGTGATGCAACAAGTCTGCTCTATTTCCACCTCATGTTGATCATTAATAGCCCCATGCCATCCGACTTCTATGGAGGGCATCCTGGTTAACAATCCGAACTTCCCCTCAAAGTGATCGATCAGTTTCATCAATCTGCTTCGTCAGTTCACCTGATGAATTACTGCACGTGTGGCTTTTCAAATTAACGACCGAGTATCGCTTACTCATTCATTGCGAAGTGCAATCGGTTTTGATTGATCAATTTGTTCCGCTTAGTGTTTCACTAGTATTTGATTCCTAATTGTATTGGGTTCGCGACCGAAGAGAGCGATTAGAATCTTAACATTTCGGAACTTCTTTCTGCTCCTAGTAAATGGTTAAAAGATACACGCCGTTTCAATTTCCTTAAAAGAACATTCCCCACCGACGTCTAGAGAGCATTGAATTCGTTGCGTTGCAACTTATCTGTGTAGCGCGTTCGTGTTAAATTTTTTTGAGAAATGTGTCCGCTCAAATCATTTTCCGTCCGATTTCGCCCAACTCCTGTCAAAGAACAACTTAGCTCCAAACAGCATGAATCTGACTAGGATTGCTTCCGCACATATGGACGCGTGTGTTGAACAACAACTGGTTGGAGACGCAAAAGCGGATCGTGCTTACGCTTAAAGAATTGTCGCTGGTTATCCGGGTCAAGTATGGGACCTTTTCAATCGAAACCCTCCGTCGTACTAGGACAAGGGCATTGCGAAGACTGCATAGCTTGCTATTTCGGGTAACCAATTCTCCATTTCCCACCGAAATGCGGAGGCACGTACATGATCTGTCATGATTGGGTTAAAAGTTTCTTCGATAGGAATGACATTCCGATTAGCACCAAGGAAAGTTGATATACTCAACGCACAGATTAGTTTTGAGCACTTGTATTACCAGCTCTGCAACCCAGATCAACGGAAGATGCCGGATGGTCCTGAGCAACATTGGTAGATTTATCGAACCAGTTCCCGAATGCTCCGATAAATCAACGGTGTTGCTTGTAAGCCGAACGCTACACGACAATCAAGGAGTTTTGAGAGAGATGGAACACGTGATGTTCCTGTAACCAGACAAAAGATCTGGTATTGTAGTTGTGCACAAGGTAGCTCACATTGCGAAAATGTGTACCATTTTTGGGAATGGACAGACGTTCCAGCTAGTCAATACGCCGAACAACAATATCCTGGTGCAGAAACAAGTAAACAGGAACCTCAGATTCTTTTACTACACGGATGTATCTCAGAGCCACAGTGCCGGCAACTAAAACCGACTGGGTGGCGTTCCGAGGTTACACAAACTGGGGATTCCACTGCGCCCGACCACAAGGTCTCTCGGTGGTTAGCGGAACTGTTGGAGCCTGTTCGTATCCCGCTGTCAACCTATTGCTTAAAAGAGTTTTTGAGCTGATTGATTTGCTTGAGCAATTGACGCTAGGTGCTGAGCTGATGTTTTCAATAGATGTGAATTCCGATGTAGTCATGAGCAGGGGATTTTTGATATAATTAATTGAGGTTCTTCGCAGCCAGCTTTCAAATCAGATACTCGTCCACATGCCCGGAAAAGCACTGGACTGCAGTTTCAGCCTGTTGGGCATCATCAGTAGTGCGCATCCATCGGATCCACCAGAATTCGAACCCATGACCACCAGCACTACTGACGATGCCCCACAAGCTGAAACTGCAGTCTAGTGCTTTTCCGGGCATGTGGACGACTATCTGATTTGGAAGCTGGCTGCGAAGAACCTCAATTAATTAGATGTGGATTCATTTTTCACCAACATGCCAGTGTGTGAGGCAGTCAACGATTTATGCCAATTCTTACAGAGCCAAAACCTGTCCATAGGTTTCCTTTTAGAATATCTGAATAATCTAATTCTGTAATGCAAACAGAATGTACGGTTTGCATTTGAAGGGACTGCGTGCAAACAAATTGATCGTGTCGCAATGGTCAACCCGCAGTTCAACGTGGACAAATGTAAGGTCCTCTCCATACGATACCAGAGTACCTATTTCTACAGGCTAGGAACTCAAGTACTGCAGTGATCCTCCGTTGAGCGCGATCTTGGCGTGCTTGTTCAGGATAACTTGGGTTGTTCCAAGCAATCCGCAAAGGCCTCGAAAACTGGTAACCAGCACATCGGCTTGCTACGACGGGCGTTCGGACAACTAGACACCACTATTTTCAGACAGATGCTGAATGCATATGTTCGCAATTCAAGCATGGCAGCCACGGCTGAAACACGACCTTAGAGCACTGGACGAACCTCAACGTCGGGCTTCTAACTACGTCACTGGCATGCGGCACCTTCCATACGAACAGAGCCTGGAACATTTGGGAATATTCAGCAGCAGTATTCCCGACTACGAGGCGACTTGGTTATGGTGTACTTGATTTTACACAATCCAAATCATGTATGCCGTTCTTTACTGCAACTCGGCTGTAACACCAAACTTAGAGGTCACTTCTTAAAATTAGCAGGACCGTACACCAACCTGGCGTGTCGTAGAAACTTCTTTTCCGTTCCTGTGTGCCAAGCCGAATCGGTTGTTTCTGCACCCACGTTAGCCATAGTTAAAAGTCGGTTGGATGACGCACTCTTCCACTTACATTTTTCTACTTGGCGCTACTCTCCACCCTACTCCCGGGAAATACCTTGGATTTTTTTCTCTCGCCTATTAAAGCTATGGAAATACTCGGACTGAAGGGGTACTACATTACATACGGTATGTCCATTCTTTTGACAGTAAAACTACTAACTGCTTTTTTCATTTATGTTTTTTGATCATCCACCAGACTTCCCGCTATGCTAACCTATTGCTGATCAATTTCCCGGTTCTTGCACGCCCTAGCCGGTTATGTCAAGCTCCCTAGTTGCTTGCGACATAATGGTACTCGTCATCCGGATTGCCTCACTTACCATTAACCGGATGGGTTTCACTCAAATTGATACACAGCGTGTAGACAAGAACATTTACTCGTCTCACTTCCCCTACTCCTTGAATACGACTCCTTAATGGCTTCTCTCTTCTACAAACTCTTCAGCGGAAGGCAACCCACTGGGATACGGATTAGATGTTTCACGACTGCCGGAACCCAACTCTTGATCTCTTCTAACTGTTAGCTATAGTATACATTCTACCAGCGTTGAGCACCCATACTTGAGTCAGTTTCACGCAATGCAATGAGCGCTGCTGAAATTCGCGCACTGTGATTTCCCCCAGGCACCGACACACTTTCGACACAACCTGACTATCAATTCGAGGTGCACGAGTTCTGCTCAGTTGTTGACCATCTTGTCCTTCATGAGTTGACGACCATTGCGCTCGATTCAGAGGTTGGGGGTAGGTGGTGAATATATGCATTATGAAGCGATGTCTGCTCCCGTTGAGAAGAGAAGCGCCTCAGCAATGTGTCCTGGTCGTGTAATGTGTGCTAA